ACATTATCTATATACATCTGGGATGATTTCTGACTATCCTTCACATGTTGGACATGAAGGACATACCATTCTCTCAGATGCTAATACTAGCAATAAGAATGCAACTGGTCTTAACAAATTCAAAGGTTAATAATTTTAACAAGCTATAGAAAAGCTTTGTACTCCTAGAGGGGGTCTTTCTCTACAGATATAAAAATCAAGATAACCTTTAGAAAAGCCAAAATGAGAGTCACACAATCCAAACGCTAACGCCCAAGCCAATTATTAATTAGCTAGCAATTCAAAAGCTCACTGACACACTTGGTTTTATTTTAGGCATGCTAACAACAGATTTGCTAATCTAAGTACATATCTTAGATGAGGGATGTACTAGCTTAATGCCCTTAGAGAAGTTACTTCACTGGTCTGAACCTTGCTTAGCTCACTGGGGAAAATGGGGATAAACAGCTACACTTTCAAATTGTTGAAAGGATCATAGACACTTAAGTAATGTGCCACACATGATCTGGCATTTAGCAGAAGTGCAATAAATATAACGTTACATCATAATTACAGGCTTTGCCAGCCAATAACAAATTGATCATGGGGCGCCTGGGTGGCTCAGTCGGTTAAGCGTCCGACTTCGGCTCAGGTCATGATCTCACAGTTCGTGGGTTCGAGCCCCGCGTCGGGCTCTGTGCTGACAGCTCAGAGCCTGGAGCCTGTTTCAGATTCTGTGTCTCCCTCTCTCTCTGCCCCTCCCCTGCTCATGCTGTCTCTCTCTCAGAAATAAATAAAATATTTAAAAAAATGAAAAAAATTGATCAGAAAAATCAAATTAGAATTTGTGGGGTGGGGGTGGAGAGAAGACAAAGACAGCTCTTTGAATAAATAGCTGACAGGAAGGAAAACAGTCAAGAAAGAAACAAAGATGCAAACACTCAGGACTAGCAGACTGAAGCCGGCAGCAAGCACACTGCAATAGCTGTGGAGGGTAGCCCCATTTTTTCACAGCCCCAGTAACAAGGGCCTGTCTTCAATAAGCCACTTAAAACAGATTAAACTTTGATTCCATGTGTTTAAAAAAAAAAAAAAAAGACAGATAAGTACATAATTGACTTTGGAAAGCTTTCTATCAAAAGTGACTTAGCATCACAAATTTAACATTCTACATGTCTGAACTTTAATTAACTGCAAAAATCTATTAACAAGCTTCTGCTAGACTTAATGTACAGAAGAACCTCTCAAATTTCAGAAGCCATTTTTTCTCCTCGGCACTGAAAAAAAAAAACATATTTCAAACAAATTAACTGGAAATATTTCAGTGCAATGGCCTAAAGCATCATCCGTTTTTAACAGTTAACCCAAGATAAAAGTTTTCGTCTCCATCACTAAATGTTTTTATATCTACCAAACAAACACAAACATGTGCCACGAAGATCTCTTTCCATTTGAATTTTCTCCCTACATTGGGAAGGCAGTAAAAAGCAAAAAACATCTGTTCCTTTCCGCAGAGCTGACAACCCTCATTCTACGGTTTAAAAACAAATGATGTTTATGGAAGTTTATAGATAAATGATCACCTGCTTCAAAGGCAGCTGGCAATTAATGGACCCAAAGACACGCAAAATCAAGGCCAAAAAAAACCAGTTTCCCCAAGGAGAATGCTACTGTTCACTAGGCCTCTGATAATATCCAAGACACCCATAAAATTGTAGAGGATGGTAAAGAACCAAATGTGAAGCCAGACGACAAGAAAACAGACAGCAACTGAGAAACAGGGGCCTGTGTCAATCTGGATTCAATCCACCACAAAAACAGTTTCCTTGGGAGCTGCCTAGAGAAAATCTGGTTCAGTCTAACCAACAGTCACTCTTCATCCAGCCCAAGGAAGGCCAGATGTTCAACAATTAAAGGGACTGACCTTATTAAAAACTGGAACTGAAAAATCTCATAAATTCTATATTTTTTTATAAACAGCTTTTGCTCCATGTTGCCTTGCTGTGTCAAACATCCAAAAATAAGTAACAAGCAAGGACGTGCAGGCTTAAATCAGTAGACTCAGCTTCTATTTCTGGCTCTGCCTCTGAATGAATCACAGTATGACCTTGAGAAATTTATTTCGTCTCTTTACCTACCTGCATTTCCCCCACCAGGTACAAGATTAGGTTAAACCTACCAATTTTTCATTTTTGGAAAAGAAAAGTGAGTGGGTGAGATAACTATATGGAAACTGCCACACAAATGTCTACTGATCACTGAGCTGCTATATACCCAGCCATCAAAGACGAAGTCGGTAAAGTCCATATCGAAACAACTCACTCTGCAATTTCACCCTGCACTGTAAAAACATTCTCCCTGGAGAGGCCAACAGAACACGGGTACTCACTCAACAGGACTCCTTGAATTGTCCAAAATTTCAAATTTGGAAATACTTGGCAAGATAAAATGCAATGCAAGTAACAAGAATAAACTGTTTTTCTCTTAAAGGCCTACGATCTTCAGGACTCTGATCAATCCTCCTACTAATTCCCCGTCCTTGACCCCTGCCAAGATCTGTCCCTGTGCCCTTGATGCTCCCAGAACACTGTACTTCCTGTCTCCGTGTGCTGCTGTGCACTCAGGGAGCCCTGGTGAAACAAAACCCTGATTTAATGACCTCTGTATGTGGCTGCCCAGAATATACATATATATATACATATATATGCATACTTATTTATATTAATTAAAGTGATTAATATACATGCATATGTATATTAATTCAAGTGAATATATATCCAAAGTCTAATGCTATTAGAATGAGCAACCATTTACATTAATAGATGATAATCTGAATCACAGTGACATTTTCATTTAAAAAATATATATTTAGGGGCGCCTGGGTGGCTTAGTCGGTTAAGCGTCTGACTTTCGCTTGGGTCATGATCTCACGGTTCGTGGGTTCGAGCCCCGCGTCGGGCTCTGTGCTGACTGCCAGCTCAGAGCCTGGAGCCTGCTTCAGATTCTGTGTCTCCCTCTCTCTCTGACCCTCCCCTGCTCACGCTGTCTCTCTCTCTCTCTCTCTCCTAGAAATAAAACATTAAAAAAAATTTTTAATATATATATATATTTATAAATGAACGATTACCTAGATAAAAAGGAAACACATGATTTCTCACCAAAATTAAATTCGAAAAATTAACTCAAGAACTTTCCTATCTTCTTCTTTCAAAAATGATCTTTTGAGGACTTGTTTTGTTTTTTTATTTATACTTTTTACAATTTATCTAAAGGGTATTAGAGTATAAGCATCCCTTTTCATTTAACCTACACAATGAAGGGAAGGGAAGTTAAAGAAATAAAAAGAGCAAGTGATGAATAAATGAATAAAATGAATAAAGGCGACTCTTGAGTATAAGAAATCTATAAATGTAAAATAAAAGATAGGTGAAAATAAAAATGTGGTAAATACAGGTTAGCATTTAGCCAACTAAGTAGCTATGCCCATTGAGAAATGTCACTTTAGAAATGTGGGGTTCTTTTTTAGTGTTTATTTATTGAGAGAGAGAGAGAGCAGGGAAGGGACAGAGAGAGGGGGAGAGAGAATCCCAAGGAGACTCCATGCTGCCAGCACAGAGCCTGACAGGGCTCAAACCGACAAAGCATGAGATCATGACCGGAGCTGAAACCAAGAGCTGGGTGCTTAACTGACTGAGCCACGCAGGAGATGTTTTATAGATAACCTATTTATTAAAATAACAGAACTGAATGTTAAGCTTTTCAAATTACATTTGAAATTTTTACCGTTCACATATTTATCACAAACCTACCAGTAATTGCATAAATGTTCATTCCTTCCTACTCCTTAAATTCTTGCGCTCAATACTTCCTTTAAAATTAAGCGTAGAAGGAAGAGGGGCCCCGAGGTGGCTTGGACAGTTAAACGCCGGCTCAGGCCGGCTCAGGTCACCATCTCGCAGTTACTGAGTCTGAGCCCTGCATCAGGCCCTACACTTTGAGCCTGGAATTCTCTCTCGTCCTCTGTGTTCCAACCCCACTTGTTCTTTCTCCAAATAAACAAACTTTCAACCTTAAAAAAAGAGTAGAAGGAAGGGAACATGAAACAGTGAGAACTTAAGGGAAGGCCTTGGAACCTCCATACCTGTAAGGATGGATAAACGCATGCCCTCACTTGCCACGCACCACACTAAATGGCCCCTGGAGCTGGACTTCCATGGTGCCCCCCAGTTCGGTTCCATGTCCGTGTGGCCTCCTCCCCTTCACTATCCCCAGCCTATCCCTGTTTTGATTGGACACAAAGGCAAACGGAAATTATCCCTAATATTCGATTTCATTATTTATTAACTTCCTAACAGTGTGTATCAGATTTGGTTGCATCAGCAAACTGGAGAATCGCCTTGACTTCACTGAGCAGTCCACCAAGACGGCTGGCGGAGACTACGTGTGACACACACACACACACACACGCATGTTCGAGCAGCCAGAGGTTGTCTGTGCAGAGTGCTGGAATAAACTACTGGTTTCTCCAGCGCTGCTCCTTAGCAAAAATTCATTAACCCTTTTCTTCTTGTTAATGCTGTGAGGATGAGGAAGGAGAATGATGGCTCAGTGAGCTGTGGGGGGAAACGAAAAACGAGTGGATGGCCTGGCAAGGCCTGGACACAGGCGGCCCTGGACATAGGTCGCCCTGGACACAGGCGGCCCTGGACATAGGTCGCCCTGGACACAGGGGGCCCTGGACACACAGCGCAGCGCAGGTTTTGGGTAAGTGGACAGAGCAGCCCTTTCTTGAGATGACTTGGGAGACAGGACAAAGTTGCGCCCTTTAAAACCTTGTTAAAAAAGAAAACATTAAAAACCAGAAATTTTACTAAACTGGCGAGCCCGCCCTAAGAGGATCCCCCCAGGACAGGGCACGCCGGAAGCGAGGCGAGGCTCCGGGGGGGGGGGGGGCGAGCGAGCGGGGCAGGTGGCAGGGGAGGCCGTGCTGGGCAGGCGACCCGGCAGCGGGGCGCGCTCACCTGAGAACACGTTCTGGAAGCCGTCGGCCGCCGCCTGCGCCCCGGACGCCGCGGCCGCGCGCCCCGGGGGCCCCCCGCCGGCCCTCCCCGCCACAGCCCCGCGGTCCGGGAGGGGCGCAGAGCCCCCGGCCGGCGGCGCGCGGCCGCCCAGCTCCTCCGTCCAGTCTGCCGAGCGGCTGAGGCCCCAGGGGAGGCCGCCGTCCGCCCGGGGCTTCTTGGGCGGCGCGGCGGCGGGGCCGGAGGCCGGGGCGGCCCTGCGCCCCCGGCCCGGGGAGGCCTCCAGCCGCCTCCCGACGCTGGGGCTCTGGCTGGGGGACTGGGAGGGCGAGGGGCTGGGCGAGCTGAGCTGCCGGGCGGTGGTCTTGACGTAGCAGGGGGTGGCGAGCGGGTAGGGCTTGCAGCAGCGCGGCCCCGGCGCCGGGCTGCCCGGCAGGGAGGCGGCTGCGGGGGCGCCGGGCTCGCCCCCCGGCTCTGCGTCCGGCCTCGCGGGGGCCGCTCCCACCTCCCGGCACCCCTCTTCCCCTGGGGAGTCTCGGGGGGCGTCCTCGAAAGCATCCTCCTCGCCTTCCTCATCGGTGTCCCCGGCCCCCGGCCCGGGCGCGCCGGCCGAGCCCTCCCCGGGTGAGGACTCGGGAGCGCGGGAGGCGGCGGGCAGGCGCCCCGGGGGGCCGCTGGGGGGCGGCGGCCGCTCGGGCACCCGGGGCTCGGCGGCCGGGCTGGCAGGCGGGTCCGAGGGCGCAGACGGCGCCCCGGGTGTGTCGGGGCCGCAGGCGCGGCTCGCGCCCAGCAGGTACTGGTCCAGGCCCAGGAAGGCGCCGGGCTGCGGGGAGGCGGCCGGGGGCGGCGCTGCGGGCTCCCCGGGGCCCCGGAGCTGCTGCTGCTGCCGCTGCTGGCGGATCGCCTGCTGGATGTCGGAGAGCAGGTCGTCCTGCTCCGCGGCCGAGTGGAAGCTGTAGATGTCGGTGTCGGAGCCGGAACTGGTCCTTTGTCCGTCCTGCGCCCCTGCCGCAGCGTCCAGATCCTCCGAGGCCACCCTGCCCCCACCCCCAGCAGCGGCGGGTCCCGAGCCCCTGGGGCGCGGGGCCTCGAAGGGGTCCGCGCACTCGGTGTCCGACAGGCCCGCCTCGTCCGCCGAGAGGCTGAGGTCCGGGGTCTTGGTGGCCAGGGAGTGCGCGCTGTCCAGCTCCCCAGGGTGCAGGGCCTGGGGGTCCAGCACGTCCTCGCGGGAGCCGCTCGCGCCCTTCCCCTTGGACAGCGTCTTCCGGATCCGCAGGTTGGAGAACACGGACGCCCTGGACTCCGACTTGCCCCTCTTCTTGCCCGGCTCCCCGCCGCCGCCGCCCCCTCTGCCGTGCTTGCCGGGCGCCTTCCTGCCCCCGCTCCCCTTCTTTGTGGCGTCGGCATCCCGGGGCCCGGGGGCGTCCTCCGCGCCGCCGCCGCCGCCCTCGTGCGGGGCGTCCCCCGCGCTCCGCTTCGGCTTCGCGTCCTGGTTCCCCATGTCGCAGCGGCCGCGAGCCGAGCAGCCCCGCGCGCTCAGGCCATGCCGGCCGGCGTCGGCCCGCGGCGCGCGCAGGGGGAGGCGCCCGCGGCGCTCGGGCGGCCGCGCGGGGCCGGGCCTGCTAGCTGCCGCCGCCCCTGCGCACAAAGCGCGCCTGCTCGCGCGGCGGCCGGGGCTGCGGCGGGGGCGCGGGGCCCGCGGGCCGCGGCCGCCGCCGGGCTCGGGGCGGCGCTGCGGGCCCGCCAATGGCGGCGCCGCACGCGGCCGGGGCCCGGCCCCCCGCCGCCCCCGCCCGGCGTCTCCCCAAAGCGCGGCGCGAAACGAGCTGGCCGGATCTCCGAGAGCCGCGGCTCCGCGGTGTGAACCGAGTGCCTCGTCCCCGCGGAGAACGCGCGTCCGCCGCGAGATGCGCAGGCGGCTCCAAGGCTCCGGGACCTGCCGTGAAACAGAGTTAAACGAAACGCATTTTAAATGGTGGAAAAACGAGGCCGAGTGGCAATTCAGAGGTTTTGTAACATCGGGGCCACGTCTCCCACCCCCTGCCTCCGACCCCCCCCCCCCGTGCCCCGTGCCCCGTGCCCCGTGCCTCGTGCCTGAAGAAGCAGGACTCCGGTAAATATCTGCTCTGCGAATGGGTTCTTTTTTTTTTTTTTTAATATTTTTATTTATTTCTAGGAGAGAGACAGCGTGAGCAGGGGAGGGTCAGAGAGAGAGGGAGTCACAGACTGAAACAGGCTCCAGGCTCAGAGCTGGCAGTCAGCACAGAGCCCGACGCGGGGCACGAACCCACGAACCGCGAGATCATGACCTAAGCGAAAGCCGGACGCTTAACCGACTGAGCCACCCAGGCGCCCCTGGGTTGTTCTTTAATAGCTGATCGTCTTGAACGCTGTTAACGCGCTGGAGCGTCTGCGCGGGAAGGGCTCCTACATCTACTGCTGCCTTATGTTCGATGCAGACCTTGCATCTATTTCCTTGAGAGACTGTCAGCTGCCATTTCAAAAGTTCATCTTTCAAACTTTCCACGACAAAATGGCAAGGTGAAGGAATAAAAAAAAAATCCTAAGAGATTAGAGTCGATTAAAATGCTAATCTCCAAAATTCTACGTATTTAACATATAAATCAAATAGCATTTGTATTCCAAAAGGGTACATATACTATACCTCCCAGGAGGTCAAACTCATCAATATTAAACATGCTCCTATTGTTGTTGCATATAAAAAGGAAAAAGACAAAAAGGAAACACCCTTGGCACGGACGCATGAATTCAGATGTTAGGCTATAAACCGCTGCTTCCCAAGCCAGCCCATCAAGGAAACTTTGTCCTTGCCTTCATTATAAAACTTTGTGACACTTGAACAGAATTTCTTAACGTTCTGGCTCCTGTATTAATAGAAGAATTCCCTTCTTTGTAAACCTTGTAACTGTTACGTAGGAAATTTAGTTACCCACATTAAAGCATTTTTTAAATTTTTAAAGAAGTTCCAAGAATAAAGCAGCATTAATCAATACTACCACACAATAATGTTACGATGATATTAATTTGAGTTACAAATTCATCGTTCAGCCCTCTGAAAATATGTAGTGGCTAGCCAACATGCTAGTATTCTAAAGTAAGCCCAAAGGAGGAAAAAGTCGTACATATTATAACAATGCAACTTAAATGAGGCAAGCAAATGCTCCTTTGTATAGTGTGAACTACGTTTTAAACCTCTCTCTTTCACCATTTTTATCTTTTTAAAAAAAATGGTCGGATGAGTCTTTGATATCAAAGTATTACAGTGCAATAAGTACTAGCCTTTTTCAAATTACGTTCTTAAAAATAGATGATTTAAAGTCAGGCAGCCAGTCATTTTAGGTGGCCTTTTTGAGGAAATGGTTTGGAGAAATCACCTTTAATAATAATTCTGCCAGGGTGACAGCCTTGTCTCAGAGAGGTTCTGGAGTGCTTGAAAAGCCTTTGTTTCCCCTCTTTCACAAAACTGCGCTCTTCTAGAATGCCGGCTCCTCAGAGAGCACAGTTCGCCTAAGGCTAATAGAATTTTCTGCTTGTTTGAACACTGAGGTACTATGGATTTTGATTTTTGCTCTTTCTTTCACAAGACATCTTTGACTCCGAACTATTTGGGGGGTGGGGGGTGGTTTTTGTTTCTTTTTACCTTCTTTGTTTATTTTTACTTTCTTTACTATTTACTTCTGTCCTATATTTAAGTTCCAGAGATTTAAAAAAAAGGGGGGGGAGGGGAGAGAAGAAGGCAAGGAGGGAGGACAGAAGAGAGAAAAAGCCTGCTGATGTTTTCACATCCTTTGAACAATACATGGCCGCTGTGTTGCAGGTCACAGGTGACAAAGCTCTACTACTTGCAAGGGCTTATTGGGAACTCACAAGTGTGGTCATCAAATGTAGGTAGGTAAGCTCAATCCAATTTAATTAATGAGTAAGTGCAGGCTGAGATCTGTCCAAGGTCCTTAGCAACAAAGGCAATACTTGAACCTACAAATTTCGGTTCCTAATTCTTTATAACAAACACTACATAGTTTATTCTTTTGTGGACTGGTAAGAGCATCATGAAGCAAACAGTGTTTAGTGGACCCAAAGATGCGTGGGACATGGCCTAAGCTTAACTCTGTTTGATGCAGAAAGGATATCATCTCTCTAGTTGCAAAAAAAAAAAATTTAACAATAGAGATCCTACCTTGTGTCTGACCAAATACGAGGTACCAGGACACAGAATAAAAAATGACAGATATGGCTAGCCTCTATATTCAAGAACCTAATCTAGCATAATTGTTGGTAAAAATCTTTAGTATTAGCATCCCAAACAGGTCACTAAAAATGTATATGAAATCAGTTGCTACCCATTTTCCAACAGAAGGAATTAGATATAGACTTTAAAAATAAAAGTACCTTAGAAGATTTTTAACAAATGTTGAACTCCAGTTCATAATATACATATGTGAATGTAGTTGGAATAAATGTACAAAACTCTTCAACTGACTGAAAAAATTAAGATGCTTTAATGGATGGAGATATGGACAGATAACATAATAAGGCAGGTATATTTACATTTTAATTGTATAATTTGGGTGATGGATATAGGTTCTTGCTGTAAAATTCTTTCTGCCCTTCTGTATGTTTGAAATTTTGAAATGTGGTATGTATAAGAAAGTGAGTTATAAGAATGTTGAATTTCCCAGCTTCTTTGAAATTAAAACAACATAATGTTTTATGACACTCAGTTAACAGTAAGGGAATAATCAATCCTCCTCTCTTCCCTTTTATCTGTTTGTCTGAATTATACGTCACTTCTTTTTCTCTTTTCTTTTAGCTCTCCTCCCGTTCCATTGCTCTCTCAATTCAGGATCTCTCACTCCTGAAATGTTTTGATAATGTGGTTTTAGTTTTCACTCTGCTTCACCTTGATGAATGTTTGAGAATCTCTAACCAAACAATCAGATTGGATGTTAATTATCCAACTTGCCCTTTTCTCCAGCAGGTGAATGACCTTTCCTGGAAAGACCATTCTGTCCTTATATCAACTACTAAGACTTAGCCTCCTCCATCCCCCCCCCCCCCCCCCCAAGTCCTGACTTTCCTCCTATACTCCAGACTCCTGGACCCACTTTGCAGAGAAGAGCTGCACTGCCATGCCCCCACTCAAACCCACCGTATCTGAAATGGGACTCATGTGCTCTTGCAAATTCATTCTTTTGTTTGTTTGTTCGTTCTGCAAAAGCACACAATCTCTCCAGTTGCCCAGACCCAACTTGTTGCTAATTCTTGCCTCTCCCTTAGTCCACGCAATTTAGCAATCGCAGAGATTTCTCTATTCTTCCTTCTTATGTCTCTCCCATCCACTTATCCGTGGGATCCCTACGGCTGCTTCACATGTCTTTCTCCCACTCCCACTACCAACTCTCACCTGTTCTTTCTTGCTCTCATCAATGCTTCTCAAATGGGGAGATGATTTTGCTCCCCAGGGAACATTTGGCCCCGTTTGGGACATTTTGGGTTTTCATAATGGTCGGGATGCGGCTAGCACCAATGATGCTGCTAAACATAATACATAGGACAGCATCTTCCCTTCAGCCCAAAACGTTAGCCGTGCTGTGGCTGAGCACCTGCTTTATCCTGAAACCTCTCATCAGTCCTGAGAGTCAATCAATGTTTAATGAATGAGTAAAAGAATGGAGATTATTATTATTTTGAAAAGTATTTCTCAGTTAATCAAGCCAAATCAAAAACTTGAAAGGAGAACTTAACAAGACAAATAAGACTTTAACTATGATGCCTATCATACCAGTATTTTAAACGGAGAATTAACTCTTCTCTGAGACATTCATATTCTATGGAATAATGTATCTACATAAATATCCCAATTGTTCACATACTTGCTAACACTGTAAAAAGCCCTATTCTTACCAGAAAACTTCAGGATGGAATCCCCAAACCTCTGTTATAGAAATCATTATGTGGATCACAAACAAGAGTTATGTAGCTTTCAGTTTTCACCATCCTCTCTCATGTTATCACCAATACAGTACTTGGAAATTAAGTGCTTACAAAGCTGAGAAAAATCAAACATTACTTTGCCCAAGCAATACAGAATGCACTACCAATTTTTTTCTATTTTAGAAGAGAGTTAAAGGTAATGATTATAAATCCCATGTGTTTCTCATTGCTGCAAGTAGAACATAAACTTCCCTCCTAGATAGGTAGGCACACTTTAGCTTTCAACATATATTAACCAAAAAAAAAATGTGGTTTATTTGCAAATGAGAAACAAAGGAAAGAGGGAAAACAGTCATTTTGTTCTTATGTCACAAGAAATCTCCTACAAAGCTTGTATTGAGTCTCTAGAAGTACCCTTTATAGGTGAAGTTGGCCTTTCTACCTCAACAGGACCATCCAGGGACTCTTACGTGACTAATCAACAACTATTCAGAATTGCCTGTAGAAAGCCCCACTGTAAGCCTATGATTTACCTTGTTCAGTGACAAGAAGGCACAAAAA